CTGCCCCGTTTCCCGGTTGAGTTTTTTTGCCCCCCGCCTCATTTTGCCTTTGGGATAAAAAAGCCGCGGTGGGGGAGGTGCTTGAGGGTGGGGGCCCGATTGCCCCCCCCGAATTTTTCTTGTTTGTGCGAGCCGGGGGGGGGGGCCCCCCCTCGTTAAAGTTTTGGGACCCTTTTCTCGGAAATGGGGGGGGTCCCCCGGGTGGGACTTTTGTGTGATGTGAGAACCCCAGAGAGGGTGTGGGAGTCCCTTTTTGCCCGGGTTTTTTCGTTTTGGGGCCTGATACCGGGAGGTCCGAGACCCCTTTTTTTCCAAGGGGGCCCCCCCCCCCCCCCCCCCGATCGACGCTGATGCCTGATCAAATGTTCATGCATGTGTTCATGCCGCCGATGTGCACGCTCGGCCACGGGGCGGACACGGCCGACCCCACCTTAGCACTAGGGTTGCCTAACGTTAACTTTGGGCCTAAGCAGTTGCGCTAGTGTTGGCTGAAATCCTCAACGTTGTTCAAGTGTTCACCCCAGCCCATGCTGTTACTGTTTGTTACTGTTGTTACTGTTGTTCAGTGGTCAGCAAGCAGAAAATGGCAAAAACCCCGGGTAAAACCCGAAAATACCTGGGATTTTCCGGGTATTTTCGGGTATTGGACCCGCACTGGACACTAGAGATCGTCGTGGGTCACTGCCAGGCCTTCCTTACTGTTGTTCAGTCGGCCTAACGTTAGCTACTGTTGTTGGGGGGGCCCACTGTTGTTCTGTTGTTACTGTTAACACTAGCAACACTGTTCAGCTCTTAACGTTAGGCAAAACCCCCTACTTAGCACCAGCCACCACCACGCAGCACGCACCAGGACCGGCTGACGCTCGCGCTCACAAAACGATCACTAGACATTTTTTGGAGCTCAAAGAGACGACACCAGCTCTGCTCCGGCCTCCGCGAAGACGGCGCAGTCAACAGACATGCGCGTGTGCGACTCTATGTCTCTACACAATCTGTGCGCGTCACCACTGGCGTGCGCTTACCGCGCATTGGCAACGGAGATAGCTTCTCCCTCGTCACGAGCGTCGTCACCAACGCTGCCTGATGCGGAGCCCCAATGAGGATGCGACGAGAGCTGCCGCTTGTTGCCCGAGAGGGCAGCGACGTTCCGGGGTGCAGCTGCGCTCCCAGCGAAGCGCGAGTACTTGAACTCAGTGGCGAAGAAGTCCGCGACCTGGTAGTCATTGCCCTCACCCTCAATGGCGCCCTCGGCCTGCGCCTGCGTTGTGAGCTCCTTGCCGCTGCCCTGGGCTTTCCACAGCTCCCTGTAGTGGTCCTGTTTGCCGTCCACCGCAACCGCGTCACCGTCGTACGACTGGCCGATGAGGCCGTGAGGGGCCACGGCCACGGTTCCCGAGAGTGGGTCGCGCAGCGGCGCAAACGACAAGTCAATCTGCTTCTTTCCTGGCGTCGTGGAGCGCCAGATGAGCCGTGCAACCGCCTCGATGTGCCACGCGCAAGTGCGCACGCCGAGCACCTCGGCGTTGCCGCGACGCGACATCGAGACCGAGACGTCCTCGAAGGAGGCGGCTGGGCCGCCTGGCTGGAGCCGCCGCTGGCCGCTGTCAGGCAGGCCGTGCACGATAGGCGTCGGCGGTTGATTCGGTGAGAATTCCACGCGTATGGTGCGACCTGTGAGGTTCGACTTGATGGTCCAAAAGGCATCGGTGACAAAGGAGCCGCGCACCTTGACACCGCCCCAAATGAGGAATGCGCTCGCTTCGAAAAGGGCGTTTACGCTGACGTTGGTGTGGCTGAGCATGTTGTACGTGGCACCATCTTCGCCGCGGAAATCGGCCTCGCCTCCATGTGCAAAGCGGAGGTGAGGATCGCCAGTGATGACCACCGGTGCGGAAGGAGGAGGAGAGGTTGGGGGGGACGGCGGCGCCGGTGGCAGAGACGGTGTAGGTGGGGGAGCCACCGGTGGCGGCGGAGGTGCCTGGGGATCCCCATCGGGGATCTGGGGAGGATAGAAAGGGGGTGGCGGCGAAGGTGGCGGTGGTGACGGCGGCGGCGGCGGCGGCGCCGGCGGTGACGCCGGCGGCGACCGCGGGCCTGGAGGTGATGACGGCGGCGCGCTCGGCGGAGGCGATGGTGGGGCCGAAGGAGGCTGCGGCGGTGATACCGGCGGAGGGCGAGGGGGGGTGATGGCTTTCGTCTCAGACACAGGGACAGCGGTGATACCTAGACTCGCCAGCTCGTCGGCCACGCCCTCGGTCACTTCGTCGATGGAGTCGTCGACCTCGACTTCCAGCGATGCGCCAGTCACGTCTTGAGCTACGTAGGTTTTGGTAAACGTGACGACAATGTTCGTGACAAAGGCCGAATCACCGGGACCATCGCCCTCGGTCACAAGCCCCGATATGGAATTCCGACCGGGGGCTTCTGCCAGCAGCTGATCGTTCGGCGGGTTGTACCAGGTGATGAGATAGCGCGGCGGGCTGTAGCTGCCATCCGGCCAGATGACCACCGTGCAAGTACCTCCTTCGCTAGCGCACCAGTCACTGTAAGCTTGCTCCAACTGAGCCGCGGTCCCACTGACAAGGCTAATGCGCGACTCTTGGTACACCTGATAGTTTTGGACCAGCAGCCGCCGATGCTGCGCGTTCAGGCGGCGGCGAACGCCGTTCATTCCATTATGCAGAGTTTCGAATGTATTCCCCCCGAGCTCCGCGGCGGGATTGTTCACCGGTATGTCAGTCTGTTCGTCAACCATCCAGCTCAGCGGTGAAGAAGGGGGTGGTGGAGAAGGGGGCGGGGGAGACGGCGGCGGCGAGGGTGGCGGTGATGGCGGCGGCGGCGACGGCGGCGGCGACGGCGGCGGTGGGCTCGGGGGCGGAGGCGACGGAGGTGGCGGCGAGGGCGGCGGCGGGCTGGGAGGCGGCGGCGACGGCGGTGGCGGCGACGGCGGTGGTGGCGAGGGCGGCGGCGGCGAGGGCGGCGGCGGCGAGGGCGGCGGCGGCGATGGCGGCGGCGGCGACGGCGGCGGCGGCGACGGCGGCGGCGGGCTGGGAGGCGGCGGCGACGGCGGTGGCGGCGACGGCGGTGGCGGCGATGGAGGCGGGGGCGACGGCGGCGGCGGCGACGGCGGCGGCGAGGGCGGCGGCGGTGAAGGGGGCGGCGGCGAGGGCGGAGGAGGTGACGGAGGCGGCGGCGATGGCGGCGGCGGCGACGGCGGCGGCGGCGACGGCGGCGGCGGGCTGGGAGGCGGCGGCGACGGCGGTGGCGGCGACGGCGGTGGTGGCGAGGGCGGCGGCGGCGAGGGCGGCGGCGGCGAGGGCGGCGGCGGCGAGGGAGGCGGCGGGCTGGGAGGCGGCGGGCTGGGGGGCGGAGGCGACGGCGGTGGTGCGCCGGAGGCGGGGGCGAGGGCGGCGGCGGAGAAGGGGGCGGCGAGAAGGG